GCCAATGGGGAAATGAGTGATTCACAAAAAACTGGACTAATTACATTAATACACAATAAAGGTAATGAGGAAAAGTTAGAAAACTGGAGACCAATAACTTTATTAAACATAGACTATAAAATAGCAGCATGCGTATTAGCTACACGATTATAACTAGTTATGGAAAATATTATAAATACTGATCGAAATGGATACATTAAAAATAGATTTATAAGGTATAATATTAGGCAGATACCAGATATCATTGATAATGCTGAACAATTTAATATAGATGCTTGTATTTTATTCTTGGACTTCTCAAAAGCGTTTGACACTATTGAATGGAATTTTATGACTGGCTGTTTAAACAAGTTTGGTTTTGGGGACTCGTTGGATTAAAACTTTTTATACAAATATAAGTGGATTAGTTAAGAACAATAACAGGTTTACGGAAATGCATGCTATACAACATGGAATTCGGCAAGGATGCCCTTTATCTTGTTTAATTGTTGTAATATCTGTTGAAATGTGAGCAATTAAAATACAAAAATATATAAACGTGAAGGGAATTCGATTAAACAGAAAAGACATAAAAATTGCACAATTAGCTGACGACACAACATTATTTTTAAAGTATCCAGATGTTCCTTTAGTGACTTAGTTAAAAGATGATTTCGGAAAACTTGCAGGTTTAAAATTATTATTTTTTATTAAAATAGAGGGCCTATTTTTAGGAAATAACAAAAACAAACGAAGAGATTATGAAGGTTTACATTGGACGAGAGACGAAATAAAATCCCTTGGGATAATTTTCGGGACTAACAAGAAACTATGTGCAAACTTGAATTGGGAAAGTGAATTTTCCAAAATGAAAATCAGCAAAAGTAAAAATGTGATGAATAAATGTCATAAATTATAAATCCTTGGGCGTATTCTTAACAAGCAACGGTTGTCAAGAAATCAAGACATACTAGTCATTGCAAGACGTACAAAAGAGCCCCATGGAAGTTTTGTATGCCATTTTTTCAATTATAGTTGGCCTGTGGTATCACTGCCAAGTTTTACAGAGACAAAGTACTGAAGCCTGTCAAAAGATTCTGTATAAATAGACGTCCATGTAACGCGTAAATGGTAAGTGGTATGCCACTAAGATTGCTCTGGGTGGTGCAATCTCATGTACTTCGCCAGTATACCAAGGGAGACTACCGTGCAGCGTTTACGTCATGGAAAGCGCGATCGCGAAAGTGCGGTTCTGCTTAGTGGGGAAGGGGGTACTTCCAAGGATTGTAATAGAAAAATCAAACTATATACATCAACCCTGTGATTCGTGACACTAATGAACAGAAGTCACTATGACTATGTCCCTCGTATATTGCAAAACATATACCATACGTATCAGTTTGTCAATACGCAGGAAAAATGGATATTAAGAAAGAAAAGTAGAAGTTTATATCCCAGCTCGACGGAGTGTTTTGAGAGAATGGACCGTCGTACTGACATTCTTTAATGAATAACTTTCATTATGTTTATTTTTGAGAGGCATGCAGGTGAAAGCGGTGTGCACCCTTCATCAATGTAGAGTTGGATATATTGTATCTCGACTACGGTTCTTCTGTGTCTCCTTTCGTTTCTTGTTGCTTAAAAAATGGAACAAACAAATACATGTGTTCCCTTTCGAGTGTCGTTTGTCGTTTCTTACTTTTTGCATATTGTTCGTATCTTTTAGTGTATATAGGCATAAGCTTGACATTGAAACTAGTCGATTTCCGTTTCACAAACAATATTAATATAGGTAACGGTTACCTGACCAGATATACTTATCACTATTGATAAGCAATATGCGCTAGTATTTTGTATTATATTTAATAGTGTATGAAAACTGTCAAGACATATACCAAAATTTAAGAGAATTCTATACTTTTTTCCATCGTTTCTATCTGCATTTCTTTCGTTAATAACAAAACGATTGCCATCTTAGGAAGTAAATATAACTACTCGATTGTATTACATAGTATTTCTGTACCCCTCTCCTAATGACAAGTTAACACCAATCAGTCTCTAAAAATGTTATAAATCTGACCCCTACTACATTGTAAGAGGTGCGCGATTTGATGATTGCTTCTCTGGATGCACTGGTGTAGCCGGCTCCCTGACACTAAAGTGACCCCCCTACTGATAATGCATCCATATGGCCTCATATAAAGATAGCAATGAACTTCCCGTACTTGAATGACTGACTGGTCAGTATCTATAGGATGACCTAGGACCCTGATTGAAGATCAAGTGATCATTTAAATGCACATGTACGGACGCGAGCCAACGTTTACGCTGTTCTGTTTAATATGCACAACACATGTTAAACTTATTGTTTTTAACACCGGTACCATCTTATACAGCTGCATCCAAATTTTACATGTTATTTTTCTGTCTACAAGATTAGTCCGACCTTGACCGGGTGTGAGATGGGGAGGAGTTTGAGAAGGGAGAGAGTTTACATTGGTCTGATTATGAGAGTACCAAGTTGCCTTCCACCCTTCTTTATTATGAAAACAAAAATTGAAAATCCGCATAATAATTAACACTCACTTGTGCGCGATCGAAACCCTTTATTAATATATTGCCGTATTTGTCATTATGATTATAACCATGGAGTATATCATTCCGTTTTCTGTATTGAGAGAAAATAGAGTAAAGGATATACGTTGTTAGTCGCTTTAAAGCTGGTGGTTGTCGGTCGCCTTTATCTATGGATATACGTTATTAGTCGCTTTAAAGCTGGTGGTTGTCGGTCGCCTTTATCTATGGATATACGTTGTTAGTAGCTTTAAAGTGATGGTTGTCGGTCGCCTTTATCTATGGATATACGTTGTAAGTCGCTTTAACGCTGGTGGTTGTCGGTCGCCTTTAAGCTGATGTATACGTTGTTAGTCGCTTAAAAGCTGGTGGTTGTCGGTCGCCTTTAAGCTGTTGTATACATTGTTAGTCCCTTTAAAGCTGGTGGTTGTCGGTCGCCTTTAAGCTGTTGAATACGTCCCAGGGGTTATCTATGGATATACGTTGTTAGTCGCTTTAAAGCTGGTGGTTGTCGGTCGCCTTTATGTATGGATATACGTTGTAGGTCGCTTTAAAGCTGGTGGTTGTCGGTCGCCTTTATCTATGGACATACGTTGTTAGTCGCTTTAAAGCTGGTGGTTGTCGGTCGCCTTTATCTATGGATATACGTTGTTAGTCGCTTTAAAGCTGGTGGTTGTCGGTCGCCTTTATCTATGGATATACGTTGTTAGTCGCTTTAAAGCTGGTGGTTGTCGGTCGCCTTTATCTATGGATATACGTTGTTAGTCGCTTTAAAGCTGGTGGTTGTCGGTCGCCTTTATCTATGGATATACGTTGTTAGTCGCTTTAAAGCTGGTGGTTGTCGGTCGCCTTTATCTATGGATATACGTTGTTAGTCGCTTTAAAGCTGGTGGTTGTCGGTCGCCTTTATCTATGGATATACGTTGTTAGTCGCTTTAAAGCTGGTGGTTGTCGGTCGCCTTTATCTATGGATATACGTTGTTAGTCGCTTTAAAGCTGGTGGTTGTCGGTCGCCTTTATCTATGGATATACGTTGTTAGTCGCTTTAAAGCTGGTGGTTGTCGGTCGCCTTTATCTATGGATATACGTTGTTAGTCGCTTTAAAGCTGGTGGTTGTCGGTCGCCTTTATCTATGGATATACGTTGTTAGTCGCTTTAAAGCTGGTGGTTGTCGGTCGCCTTTATCTATGGATATACGTTGTTAGTCGCTTTAAAGCTGGTGGTTGTCGGTCGCCTTTATCTATGGATATACGTTGTTAGTCGCTTTAAAGCTGGTGGTTGTCGGTCGCCTTTATCTATGGATATACGTTGTTAGTCGCTTTAAAGCTGGTGGTTGTCGGTCGCCTTTATCTATGGATATACGTTGTTAGTCGCTTTAAAGCTGGTGGTTGTCGGTCGCCTTTATCTATGGATATACGTTGTTAGTCGCTTTAAAGCTGGTGGTTGTCGGTCGCCTTTATCTATGGATATACGTTGTTAGTCGCTTTAAAGCTGGTGGTTGTCGGTCGCCTTTATCTATGGATATACGTTGTTAGTCGCTTTAAAGCTGGTGGTTGTCGGTCGCCTTTATCTATGGATATACGTTGTTAGTCGCTTTAAAGCTGGTGGTTGTCGGTCGCCTTTATCTATGGATATACGTTGTTAGTCGCTTTAAAGCTGGTGGTTGTCGGTCGCCTTTATCTATGGATATACGTTGTTAGTCGCTTTAAAGCTGGTGGTTGTCGGTCGCCTTTATCTATGGATATACGTTGTTAGTCGCTTTAAAGCTGGTGGTTGTCGGTCGCCTTTATCTATGGATATACGTTGTTAGTCGCTTTAAAGCTGGTGGTTGTCGGTCGCCTTTATCTATGGATATACGTTGTTAGTCGCTTTAAAGCTGGTGGTTGTCGGTCGCCTTTATCTATGGATATACGTTGTTAGTCGCTTTAAAGCTGGTGGTTGTCGGTCGCCTTTATCTATGGATATACGTTGTTAGTCGCTTTAAAGCTGGTGGTTGTCGGTCGCCTTTATCTATGGATATACGTGGTTAGTCGCTTTAAAGCTGGTGGATGTTGGTCGCCTTTATCTATGGATATACGTTGTTAGTCGATTTAAAGCTGGTGGTTGTCGGTCGCCTTTAAGCTGTTGAATACGTCCCGGGGGTTATCTATAGATATACGTTGTTAGTTGCTTTAAAGCTGGTGGTTGTCGGTCGCCTTTATCTATTGATATACGTTGTTAGTCGCTTTAAAGCTGGTGATTGTCGGTCGCCTTTATCTATGGATATACGTTGTTAGTCGCTTTAAAGCTTGTGGTTGTCGGTCGCCTTTAAGCTGTTGTATACATTGTTAGTCCCTTTAAAGCTGGTGGTTGTCGGTCGCCTTTAAGCTGTTGAATACGCCCTGTGGTTATCTATAACGTGTATGAATGTATACAATCGTGAATACATGTATATACTATAGTAACCTTGATGATAACAGTTCGTCCTCAGTACGATAACTGAACATATGACCGCTGACAGCTATATATGAAGATATTATGCATTGCGCACTACCATCATACTCATCAGAATCACGGTGACAGACACAAGATGATGTTGCTCCCCTCTTCTCTACTCCTGCTGGTGGCCGTGGTACAGCTGACCAGTGGAGGATCAGTGAAGCCAGACGACGATGCCCCAGGCTTTGAACATTGGTGGACCACAAACAAGAATACTTTTGAAGACTATCCAATCAAATTCGAAAAGCCTCTACCAAACTGGATTTATGGGACTATGGTAGGAAATGTACTACTTTTAAAAATAAATGCTGTACTTTGCAACATTCTATAGCTAGGGTAAAAGTAGCCATATAAAATTTGTGGGATTTATACAATTAGAAAGTTATATCTTTGTAACCATAAACATAAAATGATTATTTGCACTATTCCCGCCTTTGCTGACTTTATATATTTCGGAATATTTTCATTCTTATGCATTTTAGTGCTACTGACGAGTCATAAATGGACAAATTTAAATGACCACGTGATGGAGTAAAAGGTTTAATTTGTTTGGCTTTTTGCATCGGCAAGCTAACGTTTATAAATCAGTGTTTTCTCATGCCGTCTTTCTGTTTAATATTGGACAGTTTAAATATTTGTTCTTTAAAAAGAATATAATCAATTATTACATTTTTATACTATCGCTACTAAGATGCTGAAATACTGCTTTTCTTGCAATTTACTGAAGGAAAGGCCATTTCTATTAGCAATACAACTGGGAATTATATTTCATAAAACCATCAACGATCTTAAATTCCATTATCGGAACTATGACATGTCGATGCTTGGGGAAAAATAACTACAAATGTTTTATGATCGATAAACAAAATGAGACGTTCCATCGGGGTAAGGAGGTGAATGACCGCATTATGAAAAAATAATATTTACTTTACGTTGGAATTTTAAAACGTTTATATATGTAATGTTCCATACACATAATTTTATATGGGATGTGTGTTGAGAATTCTGTCTCACTGCAGGTAAAATACAACAAGTTTAGCTTTGTTTTGTTCGTGTACAGTAGACCCGTTAGAAAAATTGGTATCAGCGGCAGTATAATTTTATGTATAGAAGACCCGTTAGAAAAGTTGGTATCAGCGGCAGTATAATTTTATGTATAGAAGACCCGTTACAAAAGTTGGTATCAGCGGCAGTATATTTTTATGTACAGTAGACCCGTTACGTTGGTATCAGCGGCAGTATACTTTTATGTACAGTAGACCCGTTACAAAAGTTGGTATCAGCGGCAGTATA